TACTGTCCAAGTAGTTATCGAAATCTGGGAAGAGCTTCCACTTAACTTACCTCTGATGAAGAAGTCTGAATAATAATTCTTGGTTTTAAAGGCGTAGATCTGGCGAGTTCCTTAATCCTATTTTTGGCAAAATTGACTTCACTTATGGCAGGAGATGGCCCGTGATTATGAGAAGTTCGCTTTTGTTTTTCTTCATTTTTGCAGACAAGTCTGCCTTTGCACAATTTGGCACAGCATCTCCATGATTCAGACACAGATGTTATACGATCTCTTCTGTATCGGTATCCATTATGAAACAAAATATCCTTTCCTTTTTGCGATTTAAGCATTTTTTGAAATATGTAAATACTTTGTATTTCTGAAGTCAAATGATATCTAAAATGTCATTTTGAAATTGAAGTTATGACGGATTAAGCAGGTTAAGTTTGTGGCGGTGCGAAATTATTTTTTCCTACGAGCGTGCGCAAAGTAGTACTTTTCCGCACGCATTACCGTTCTCAAAGTAGTACTTTTCCGCACTCAGTGCGGATACGGGCCTTATCCGCACTGAGTGCCGAAAAGTATAAATAATTGTCAAGCAACAATAAGTGCACCTGTCGACTTTGACACATCATGACAAATTTTTCCTCTGTTTCTATATCAGCCAACATCTATACAAACACTGAATATAATTAACTTTGACACATTGTCAGATTTGTGTTCTCCACATGCAAGAATCTACAAACTTCTTTCCCATCAAATTTAAACGCTTTAAGATGAACAGCTCTGACCAGGATTTCAATTTCCTGTTTTTTTGTTATGTAATTTTTTGATGAATGAATAGGTTCGCTACAAGATAATTGAAAATAATTGAACAAAATATCGTTTTTTTTTTAAATTTTTGTTGTTAACTACCTGATATGTGGCTCGTAGGAAAAATTTTGTTCCTAACACGTGCGCAAAGTGTCTTTTCCGCACGCAAACACTCATCCGAACTCCGCTTCGCGTCGTTCGTATAACTGTGTTTGCGTGCGGAAAAGTAACACTTTGCGCACTTGTTAGGAAAATAACTATTTAGTTTATGTTAAAACCAGGGCTGCAATAATCCAAATTCTCTTCCTCTCTTCTGCACTGCAAACAAATACGTCTTCATTTGTTAAATGCTGACTAGTAGATAGACTGTTAATTAGGAAAATGCAGACTTACCCAAACTTACCGATAATAAACCGTCTGCCGGCTTAGTGCCATTTGCGCTACAGCCGTTTATGCGAGTGAGAAAAGGGCGATACGAAAAGCGCGAGGAAGAAAAGCGCGACGGAACAAAAACGCGACTGGGGAAAAGCGCGAGGAACAAACACGCGACTGAATTAAAACGCGAGGGACAAAAACGCAACTAGATAAAGATAAAACCGCGATTGGACAAGAACGCGAGGTGCCGAACTATCTACGAGGACAATAGATATTTTCGGTGGCTCCGGTTCAAAAGAGCGATATTCGAAATAGCGACATCAAAAAAGCACATTTACAACGGCGACCTCTAAGCAAAAGAGGGACACATCAACTTACTCAAACTAACCCGTTCGCCTAGTGCGATCTAGTCCTCGTAAGTTAGCAGTTTATTTGAAAAACAAGGCGCGGTCAAGGGACGCTACGCCATAAATTAATTGACTGTTTTTTCAAATAAAATGCTAACTTACGAGGACTATATCGCGCTAGGCGGACGGGTTAGTTCGGGTTAGTTTGAGTAAGTCTGCATTTTTTATTGCATAAATATTAATTCAATTCAAGTTTCCGAGAATTTTCTACTCGAGTTTTGTTGTTTTCATTAGGTACCCCAATGTAGATAGTCATTTGAAAACAGTTTTGTTTCATGTGTTCTTGTATTTTATAAAATATGCGCCCTTTTGTCCGCGCTATTTTGTCCGCGCTATATTGTCCTAGCGCTCTTTTGTCCGTGCGCTCTTTTGTCTATGCGCTCTTTTGAACCTGCGCTGTTTTGTCTGTGCGCTCTTTTGTCCATGCGCTCTTTTGACCCTGCGCTCTTTTGTCCATGCGCTCTTTTGTCCGTGCGCTCTTTTGACCTGCGCTCTTTTGTCCGCGCTATTTTGACTTGCGCTCTTTTGACCTGCGCTCTTTTGTACCAGCGCCGAATTGTCATTGTACACTCGATTGTTTTTGTTTTGATTTCGACTATCGTTTGATTCTGAAATATTTAATTTTTTGTGTAATCTCAGTCTCTAATCGCTTCACAAAAATGGGTTTCCTTGTTCAAGAAATCATTTCTTCAATTTTTAGTGGTAGATTGACTTTCGAAAAACGGCGCTGTGCCTCTAAATTTGACCCACCTTTACAAAAACTCACGAGCTACAAAAATATAAAATAACTAATAAACGTAATGTCTGTTTTTTTTTAAAGATAATTCCCCAAGTCAAAAATTTAGTAACTATGTTGGCAACACAAGCCTTTTTTACATACAAAATTTGAAAGTATTGACAATTTTACATTGCATTGCCAACATAATGTCATTTTGACTTTTATCTTTAAAAAAAATAGTAGATTATACCACGAGTCAATAATGATAGCTATTATTCCCGAGGATTATTATGAACTGAGCCGCGTTAGCGGCGAGGGAGTAACATTCCGAGGGAATAATAGCCATTATTGCGAGTAGTATACTCTACTTTATTTACGACAAATTAATTTATTTGAGATTTTCAATGAACAAATTTCATCCGTCTCATAATTTTCAATACAAATCCACAAGCACTACACATTTGACACTGACACTTTTGTGGAATAATGACCATTAATCCCGCTACTCGTCATTAATCCCTGGAGGAATAACATATGTCATTATACTGCCAAAATCACAAATATAATACGCACATTATACATTAGTCGTAAATAAAAACACTTTAATGTGAATTCAGTTTACAAATTCATCTAAAAAAAAAAAAAAATCACTTTTTAGAAAAAGTATAGGTACTTTCTTGTCACTTTTTGCCGCCAACAGCAATTTTTTATTTTTCGAAAACTTATCTGAAAAATTCCCTATAAAAACGTAGTTAAATTGGTTTTTATTTGAAGTTCTGCTTTTACATGGGTTTACTGAGAGTCTATTGCGGCTATCTGCTATCAGTCCACGCCGCATTGCATAGGGAAAACACCCTTTCTGAGTCGGAATTCGACTCATGGATGGAAAAAACAAATTGAATTATTTTTAAAAAATATTTAAGATATGGATTGGCAAAAAAAATCTATTCCATTCATGAATAGTGAGTTAAGAATAGGCGAATCTTTGCGCGGAATACAGCGCGGGAGCATGTTCGCTCCTTTCACGTTAAATTATAAAATAGCTCAGCCGAAATAAAAGTAATTTTTTTTTATTCGTAGAGTAAGGATTTTATTAAATGCAGGACCTTTGGTGTTCTGCGGACAACTCCGGCAGGACGCAAGACCCTGAATCCAGGACATCCTGCGAAATCCAGGACGCCTGGCAACCCTACCACCAGCTCACATTCATTTCGAGTATCAGATTAAAATCGACGGACTTTATGTAGAGTGAAGAGACGAAGATTAGTAATAAATTAAGAACAAAAAACTTTGGTTTGATCATTTCATTATAATTATCATCAAATCAACATCAACCAAAAACGTTAAAACTTATTAAGTTTCAAATTGCTTTCTCCCCAGACCCCAATTCAGCAACATCTTTATTTTAAAAATAAATTGGAAGCAATTGGCAAAGTAGTGCTTGGTAAATGGTAATTGGTAATTTATTTGAGAAAAAAGTGCTTGCAAGCTCCTGCAAGTAATCAACAATTATTTCGAACACTTTTTGAGTAATTAATGCGAATTTATAAAGTGCTTGGTGCTTGATGCTGGCAATTCCTTTTTCTAAGGGCTTGGTGCTCCAAGCACTTTTTTCGAGTGCTTTGCCCAGCTCTGCTTGATTATCATTATTTTTTTTGTTTGTTGAAGCTGCACACAAACTCAATATTCTATTACCATGCTGTCTCAAACAATACGCAGCTGTAATACACAGGCTAGCAAAAAATGTCAAAAGAAACTGAAAACGTCATAATTACCCGCCGAGATGATTTCTTCGAAGGTGGGAGCTAATGTCGCACTAAAATGTAGATCATAAACAAAAAAAGGGTCAATGTTGACCAAGACCTTTTTATAAATTATGTTCCACAGGTTTTTGGGCCTATGTCTACATTGGCCTTTTTATCTGTAAAATAAAATGTTATTTGAATTTGAACATTGGCCCTACGTACTTTTGAAACGTGTTTGCCACTCTAAGCAGACATTGGCCCTTTTTTACTGATGATAGTTATCTTTAAATGTAGCTTGAGAATGCACTTAAGCCAAAATCACAGATAATTGACATTGGCCCTTTTAGAACCAAGCCCCAATTTTTATGAGAGAATTTCATGAATCAAAAATTTAAATTTTTTGTCAAAAAAATGTCAAAACACCAGTTTTCGCACCAGTTACTATGCAATTATCCGATAATTTGCACTAGTGCAAATTATCGCGTAATTCCAGTCTGATTGGTTCAAATCAACAATCAAAACATGTCAGTTTATTGTTAGAATGTCAGTTTTGACAGATGTATGAAATTCTCAGAGATATTTCGAATTTTAGAAATTGCCTACTCAAACTCAGCAGGAACAAGGAAAAAGGAAAGCACCAATGTTCAGTTACAGATAAATGGTTAGTGCTTCAATCTCCAATTTAGCAACCCTTGTATTTCCGGAGATATTTCGGTTTTCTGAAATCGCCTGTTTACTTCACACCCAGCAGAATCAAGGGAAGCACCAATGTTCAGTTACAGATAAATGGTTAGTGCTTCGTTAGTACTTCAATGTGCTTCAATCCCAAAATTAGCAACTCTTAAATTTTCAGAGATATTTCAGATTTTAGAAATTGTTTGCTCGCCTCGCGCTTAGGTCAAGATAGCCAAATGCACACATTTATATATTTGGGATAGGGCCAATGATAGGTATATTACAAAATATGTTTATTTTCTTTTATTTTATAAGAAGGGTAACGAAAATTGGAACAGTTTTTATACTAACAACGACCCTATTTAATATATAACAAAACAATATTTATTCTGATTTGTAAACAAATAATTTCTATATAAAGGTATCGGGTCTTCAAAAAAAAAACCAATCAAAGATTGCTTTGGTTACGAAAACGTACGTCGGATTATTGTTTCTTTATTGGCCAGAATTTTTGACATTAAATTTCATTGACTGACATTGTCAAAATTAAAGAAAAATATTGCCAAGACGTACGTTTAAAAAACCATAGCAATCTTTGATTGGTTTTTTTTTGAAGACCCGATATAAATACTTGTGCAAAGTATAGCCACAGAAAGTATAGCATATTTTAAGTGTATTTTGTAGTTTTGATGGTGCCAAACAAATGTTTTTACTATATAGTTTCGATTCTGAGGTAATAATATTATATAAAAATCTGCATAAAAAGTAAATCAGCCACACTAGTAATAAGTAGTAATAAATTCCTATTCATAGAACTAGTGTGGTTAATATCAAATTGATCTAAAACTTAAATTTGTTTATATAGGATTAAGGTCTACTTGTGTTTGTCTAAAAGAGTTTTTTTGACAATAAAGCTTTTTTGATATGATGAAATACCTATGTAGGTATAAAAAATTATCCTATCACAAATCAATACTAGAATTTACATTTCAAAATAGTCTCCACGGTTCAAAAAAATATAGCAAAATGTGCTTATTTTTATGACGGAGTAGTAGTTATTAAAAATAGGTCCTACAAAGACAATGCTAGAACAATTTAGTTTTATAATGTTCTCCCCTGATTTTACTGTAAAGTGAGGCCAAGCAAAAAGGTGAGGTTGATTCTTAGTATCGGTCAAGTCACGACCAGGTACAATCAACAAGGATCAATAAGCAGTAATAGTAAAATCTGTGACAATTTCAATAGAACTTGTATTGCAGTTAATAGGGAAACTATCAAATAGCTTACTTATTAATAGAAAAAAGGCAAAGATAGTAAAAAGAAATCAAGAATTATTCTCAAATACATTTTTTACTCAGACTATTACTACACTTCAAGTAATGCCATTCAAATTATTGTGGCACTCTTTCACCTTTTATCTGTTTGCTTGCCCTAGCTAAATAATCCCAAATAAATCTAATAAGTATTTTAAAAATAAAATCCTACCAATATAACCATTATTAAAAATTAACAGAAAATAACGAAATATCCAACAATTTTAATGCTAAAAGCATAGGTATGACCTTCTTTTTTCAAATAAAACAATCATGTAACAAAATATAGTATAGTATAGTATGGCATAGATTAACAAACAAAAATATGTATGTTTCCAAACTTAAAATATATACATACAGTTCTTAGACTTATACATAGGCCTTAACAACTACTACTGCCTCTATTATTTATAATAATAATAAACTTGTTTATTACTTACAACATTCAAATTTCTTGCGTTAGAGCAGGAATAGGGTATAAGGTTAAAAATGGAAGATTAACCAAGAAATGCAACAAATTTAAAAAGGAATGCCCAGCATTTATCACTAGGCGTGAGACATCAAAATTTTAGTAGGCTCCTCTTAACAGGTTCGCGGATGATATTTCACACTTCTTTTTGATGTTACAGAATGCACTGAACACGGTTTGAGGAGGAAAACAAAATAGAACTTGTGCAGATGTGTGTTATGCTCAGAATATACCTAACTGTCCAAGAACATGTTGATTATAATTTACAAAGAGCCATTAAGTTTTTGATGTCAAGATTTTCACAAAATAATACTGATGCTATTAGGTCTGTTTCTGCAGAAATCACAAACCATCAGAGTGAATTTCATTGGTTGAAACTAGTTTTCTGATTGTTTTTGACTGTTTTCAACCAATGAAATTCTCTCTGACTGATTTGTGATTTCTGCAGAAACAGACCTATTATAATTAGACTGCAACAAATTATTGCTTTTTACAATTCTGACTGTCGAAAAGTAATAAAAATGCTTATGAACAATTATAAAAAGATGCCTGCAGCCTATTTGTAGTAAAAAGAAGCCGTAACAGTTACATTATCTTACTTGATGCAATACTTAACATTTATTGCCCCTTATAATAATACCTAAGTTTGCATGTGGATTAACGTCTAACTACTATATTAGCCTTTTTTTCAGTGCGATAATTATTATTCGTAATACTTATTAGGATAGTTCCCCAATTGGTGCATTTGCCAGCCACAAAGTATGTAAGTAATGATATAAATCATCACTCACAGAAACTTTATATGGTGTAGGGTTCAAAGTTCTCTTAATATCGGGTCGTAGTATTCTAAGAGAATTTTCAACCCTTTGTTGTACTTCTTGTAGAGTTTCGACGCAATGACTTATGCGTCCGTTATCGAACTGTAGTATAAGTAGCTTCTCGACCTTTGAAGGGATGACAAAGGCTCTTTTGGATTCTTGGAATGGATGTCTAAATATCAACAAAATAAATTTGATTGTTTAAATAATGAGGTTATATTTTACCTGCACAAAACCTTCCTGCCATCAGCGGGTGCATCTTCGGTACTCCTTTGTAGTAAATCTATCAGTGCAGCGCCTGACTCCCCATACAATCTATAAACGTCTTTTTTTCCTGGAATGGTTACTTTTTGAACATCCTGACTAAGCTTTATGCGAGGTTCTCCATTTAATTCTACCATTTTAAATACACAACCCAATGCGGGCTGCTTTTGACAGGTTACCTAAAATATTTAGTTCTAAAATACACATAATTTCACAAATCTAGATGTGGCTATTACAGGATCTGATTTGCAATTCACCAAATTGCAGACCTTTACTGTCTTTGTCAAAGGGATAAAGTCAATACTTTCTGCAGTTGAGATAAGAAAAGAACTCCAATTAGTTTTTCAAGTAAATGTTACAATTTTCCGAGAATTTTCAAAATATCAGCATAAACACGTTCATCAACCAATCTTCATTTGCGTAAACAACCAATGAAATAGCTACGTTTTCACTGCTACTAAAACAGCAGCGACTTCAAGCCTGAAGTTTATAATCTGGGCAAGGCGGCCTTCAAAATGAGGCATCACTCAACCTTTCTTCCTATCGTATTTTGGGGGGTAATTATCACCACTCAGAGGTTGGAGTTCGCTCGCAAACAGCTGAGAGCAAATTTCGCACAAGCCATCAAGGGTTGAAAAAGTCCTTTTTGCAAGAAATGTAACGTTTTTCTATGAGTGAATCAAGAAAAAAAAATTCAATTCAGTCAGTGTTCGCCTTTTTTTTTGGCTTTGCGATTTCCACCCTGTAACCCCACCTACACCGTCTCAGATTCTCCCTAACAATGCAACCAAGTTATCCCTTATGTATAACCAAAATGGGACCCCCTGTATATACTAGCTTTTGGATCTAAAATATTATGTATATTAACTACACTAACGGGTCTTCAAAAAAAAAAGTAAATCAAGAAGACCCGTTAGCCTGCTTGTTAGCTACCTTAGTATTAAAATGATGAAATTTAAATTTTTTCTATGTTGAGATTTTGTGTTTAGAGATGATCATTTGGGACCCCCAAACTCCATGCACTGAATTATTCTGAGGTTTGAAGCCGAAATCTTTGAAAAAAGGACCTCAAAATAAGTCAAAAACCCAAAAATTCCTCGAAAAATTCACTCCAAATACCTTAACGCAATTTTTTCTCAGGAACTATAAGTCTAAATGATTCGAAATTTTGCAGGGCTTGTAGTCCTCTACTATAATAGGAATCGCTGAAAATTTCAGCTTTCTATCTATGATAAGTCACTGAAAAAGTTTTGATGTAAACACACTCAAATCTAGCATTACTTGGGCTATAGATAGAGCTCCGATGAAACTTGCTCGGTTCACACAGCCACACTTCAATGCAAAAATAAATTGCTAGAAGTTGATTTGGTTTTTTTAGGATACAAAATATTACTTAATTGAATATAAACTAAAACTGTAAATATTGTATTATTCTATTTGTGAGTGTCAGATTCATTTCTGGTTTATATGTTCTCTATTCCTCAAAATTTCTTTATTGAAGAAAACTAAAATTCAAGAGCCAGGACTAGAAAAAAATTGATATTGAGAAAAAATTTAAGGCAAATTGAGACACAGTTCAATGGTGAATTATTATTATTTTGAAGAATCAACACAATTTGTTCACTGATCCTAAATCACGTGTTAGTAAAAAAAATCTCAAATTGTGGCAATGTCAATATGACATTATTTGTGTGCTTCTCTATGTGGTATTTATTCACAATACAAAAAATACAAGAACTAATTTTGGACTATGGATGAATTAAATCCAAGCGGCAGTAAATGACAAACTGGTCATTTTCATTACAACCTATCAAATGTCGAGGGGTGTACCACCTGGACAAAAAGTGTACAGTGATTTCCTAGATCCGGAAATAACAGGGTATTTCTTGTATTTTCTGGGAAATACTTCGCATTTCTAGATATTATCAGTATTACCTGTAGCACCAAGCACCACAGATTATTACCAGTACTTCCAAGTTCCAAGTATTACCTGAAGTATTACCACCTCACCTAGTATTACCTACTTCTGATAAGTACTTTCTAGTATTACCAGATTGATTTTTTTGAAGATTTTTAATTTTTATAACACATTTTGGCTACCAGTTTAGGTACCTATAGTTTATTCTTGTTTATTTTATCCTGTTACATCCACCAGTCAATGCCAACCTCCATGTCTTTGAAAAAAGGTCTGTTGAGTGGTCAGCCGACTGTATGTAATCGAAAAATCTAATTGGTGTTGACAGATTTGTGATAGCTCAGCAAACTAGAGCATAGTAAAACTACCTAGGTACCTATATGTATTTTATGAAAGATGTTATTTCACAGGGTGTAAAAAAAAAGTGTACTGGACTTCGAGGAGGGGTGATAGTACTTATAAAAATAAGAAAAAGAGTTCCTATGAACATATATGCCCTAAGATGCTCCCTGAAGAAGTTGCAGCTCTCCAAACAGTAGAAGAAAATAATAGATTTTATTTATTTTCATCTACAACAGTGGTAATAGTATATTGTGTATTTCGGTGGAAAAGTGAGACATTCGGCTACGCCTCGCCCGTCAACTTACACCGTCGGCCAAGAATGTGCTTTTCCACCGAAATACACATACTATTTTTTCTGCGATCGGTTAAATACCTGTTAAATATTTATCTTTTAGTTCCAATTATTCAGCAATACGAGAATCACTTTCCCGGCCTAGGCCGGAAAAGTGTTTCCGGTATTGTTATTCATTGATTCCTTAGCAACTATTGAAACATAATTGAAATACCAGAATATTGAGTTTTGCGGTCAAAAATGCTGACATTTCTTGTCAATCGCAGAAAAACTATTTTTCTTGAAATTTGGTATTTTTGCATACATTTCGATGCAAAAGCGAATGGTGATACTAAAAAAAGTCGTAAGAGTTCTGAAAGGGTAGTTTCCATAAGGGTAGAGAGTAGTTACTCACAAAACAAAAAAAGCATCTTAGCTACGACCATCTTAGGGCTTATGTTCGTAGGAACTTTTTTTCTTATTTTCATATGTAGTATCACCCCTGGAAGTCCGGTACACTATTTTTTTTACACCCTGTATAAGGGATGTGCAGAACTATTGGCAGAATCCTTGGCTTATCTTTTTGGCATGTCAGTTGAGCAGGAATGCTTTCCAGATGTGTTTGAATTGTCAACTATTTCTCCAATTCATAAAAAAGATGCAAAGAATGACATCCTTAATAATTATAGGCCTATTAGTTTGTTGAACAGCTTGGCTACAATCATCGGAAACATTATTTATGAGAAAATATATGAATGTGTAAGACATGAAATCAGCAGGTTTTCAGCATGATTTTTGTGACTTTATCAAACCTGTGTATACTCTCTGAAGTCTCTGAGCAAATTTCAAAGGCTTTTAAGGCAGGGGGCAGTTGGATGTTATGTACACGGATTGTGAGAAGGCATTTGATAAGGTGAATCACTGTGCTCTAAATTTGTTGAGTTTGGGTTCTCAGGAAAAACTTGCAATTTGTTGAAATCCTATTTGATGGGGAGAAGGAATAGTGTTAAGATAGGTGATTGTTGCTTGTTGATTGCTAGTGAATATATATCAACCTCAGGAGTCCCACAGAGTAGTAAACTTGGGCCATTGCATTTTACATTGTTTATTATCAAAGACTGTTTAAATTCACATATTGGCTTAAAACATGCAGACGATTTTAAGCTATTCAAAACCATATCTGTTAAAGAGGATGTTGTCAAGTTGCAAGCTGAGTTGAAGTCAATAGTTGAGTGGTTTAAGAATTGTAAAATGTCTCATATGTCAAGAAATGTGCAGTAGTAACATATACCCGTAAGTTAAATTAGGTTAGGTTATGTTTAATAAATGGATTTGGTTGGCATCTGTGTGTGACATTGTCGTTTGCTATATTATTGGTTGGGTTGGGTGTAGTTGCCATGCAAACTCCCTAAGAAACTCCGATTTCCTAATTTGAAGGGATTTCTCAATGCTAACGCAGGATTTCGCACAGATTTCGCGGGATCGCGCCGGATTTCGCGAAGGTTTCGCGGGATTGCGCATCGATTTCCAACATTGTGCGCAGATTCTCTGGGGGGTTTGAAGGATTTCGCGGGATTTCCGCTGAATTTGTGACAGTATTGCGCGAAGTAGTTCACCCCTTGGAACCAATATTGTAAAACTGGGCCTTAGTATTCATCAATATACAATAAATAATCACGAACGAGATCATAAAACACATATAGGTAGTTTTACTATGCTCTAGTTTGCAGAGCCATCACAAATCTGTCAACACCAATTAGATTTTTCGATTACATACAGGCGGCTGACCACTCAACAGGCCTTTTTTCAAAGACATGGAGGTTGGCATTGACTGGTGGATGTAACAGGATAAAATAAACAAGAATAAACTATAGGTAGCTAAACTATTTCAACTATAGTTACCTAAACTGATAGCCAAAATGTGTTATAAAAATTAAAAATCTTCAAAAAAATCAATCTCCTCGGTAATAAAACTGCTCCAAATATATTTCACAAATCACAAAATTATTGATGAAATTATACAAGATCTGGATTCTACAGGGTGTGTTTTTACATATTGACACCCCACCTACAGCCTTTACCTTAACAGGTAGAAGAAAAGTGTAAATACAAAAGTTGTACAGTTTTGGCTAAATTTTTAGAATCCATGGTCAGAAACAAAAATTGAATGTCAGAAATGTGAAATTTTGCATGCATGCAACTTTTTTCAAATGGGATCTACTAAGATGGTTGAAGCTAAGATTATTTTTTGTTTTGTTAGTAACTACTCTCTACCCTTATGGAAACTACCCTTTCAGAACTCTTACGACTTTTTTTAGTATCACCATTCGCTTTTGCATCGAAATGTATGCAAAAATACCAAATTTCAAGAAAAATAGTTTGCCACTATTGTAGATGAAAATAAATAAAATCTATTATTTTCATCTACCGTTTGGAGAGCTGCAACTTCTTCAGGGAGCATCTTAGGGCATATATGTTCATAGGAACTCTTTTTCTTGTTTTCATAAGTAGTATCACCCCTCCTCGAAGTCCAGTACACTTTTTTTTACACCCTGTGAAAGTTGGTATTTCACTGTGACCGTTGGATTTCTTGGGTTTAAGTTTTCTTATACCACTGATTACATCACTCTTAATGATGTTTCCAAAGTCAA